TGTGTGTGTGTGTGTGTTCAATTAAAGAGAAGAAAACAATTTATGTTATTATGGCTTTTCTTGCTTTTTACGTAAAGCCACATGATGGATTATGTAATGTAATTATGGTGGTGGGAGACGAGGACGGTGAGTGGGTGTTTCCAGTGTTTGACATAAAGTTTTAAATAGCCATGATATAAAAAGAAAACAAAGAGGAATACAAGTCAGGGACAGACGAAGAAGAGGAAGAAGAAGAAGAAGAAGAAGAAGAAGAAGAAGAAGAAGAAGAAGAAGAAGAAGAAGAAGAAGAAGAAGAAGAAGAAGAAGAAGAAGAAGAAGAAGAAGAAGAAGAAGAAGAAGAAGAAGAAGAAGAAGAAGAAGAAGAAGAAGAAGAAGAAGAAGAAGAAGAAGAAGAAGAAGAAGAGGAAGAAAAAGAAGAAGAAGAGGAAGAAAAAGAAGAAGCAAAAGAAGAAGAATATAATGACGAATCAACAACAACAACACTAACAAGAGGAACAAGAAGATTACATGAAGCGTTGCAATACTGACAGTTAATGAAAGAAAATAACTCACACGATGCACACATATTTTCATGCAAAATATTTCCAGCAACTACCACAGTTGGATATGATGAAAATGAACCAACCCTTGAAGCGACAACCAGTGCCAAATCCTCATCAGCCGCAGCGCCAGCGTTCACACAGTCATCAGTGTCAGCAACGAAACACACGCAATCGTCTGTGCATTCGGTGGCAACTACAGACATCCCCAGAAGAAGGCGCGAAGCTTCAGATCACCCAGAGAATACAGAAAGCAGTGATAGTTTGAGTCATTCAAAGGTTTGTTTCTATTTTAAAATTATACACAAACTGCAACTGACACAAAAGCGCAAGGTTAACAGGAGGTTTCTAAAGGCCAGAGGTTGTCCTAGGTTTGCTAATATTTTAGCCTGTCTTCTGCATGTTCTTATAGACTACTTTTCATTAGTGTGATAATGTGGTCAAATTCATACTCTCCTTCTTTGCATTCGAATACGCGCGTGTTTGTATTTAAGAGTGTTGCACAAGGCATGAACTACATATTACATAGCTCCAGTGACGATCACATCGACATCATAGTTTTGTTTTCTGACGATCCGATTTATTGTTCTTCTTTGCAGCGTTCACGACGCAAGTTGCTATTTACACTGATAGGCGACTTTTGACTGTTAACCTCAGAAAACTGCATGAAGCTGGTAGTTATGGTATCGAAGAGTTGTTGACAGAGTGTATGGAAATGTTAAGATGTGGGCATTTCTTAGGTGAGGGAGAGAGGAGTCGGTGCATCTGGGAGGAAGAGGGGGGAAAGGGGAGAAGGGGTGGGGTGGATGACAAAAACTGTTAACTGAAAGAGCTTGAAGCTTATTTTAGTCTAGGTGGACACGGATGCCAAGGTCAATTAAAAATCGTCAGGTAATGAACTTAAAATACTTCGGAAAGGTAGAGAGGAGTATTTTGTTGATGAGTAAGGGGGAGGGGGAAAGGTGACAGTCACTGTTAATTGAGAGAGCTTTAACCATAATTTTAATTGAGCTTAAAACATGGTTTTAAAGTTCTCATTTTTCAATTACTTTTTTTTAATAACGCTTCCTTGCTATTTTTATGTTTCTTTACTCGTCGGTCATTTAGAAATACAGTAGTAAGCTTTACTTTCAGCTATTAAAAAAAAAAAACGTTAACACATGGTACACAAAAAAATTATCCTTTTAAGTCCTAATAATACAATTTAAACCACTACAACTATAGAGACACTTATATGATGCATGTTCTAGCGTCGGCAAATCAGACTATCCGTATATCTGCGCAGACAACGATTGTGATAATAACCATATTTGACAAGTGCGCGTTCTATTTGTCTTTTCCATTTCTCCAGTCTGAGCCACGTGGCGAGTACTGCTAGTCTAATGGTTAGTTGCGTATCCTTTATGGACGTTGCAGAACCAACCAAAGCAGCACCTGGCTGTTGTGTGGTTTTTCTAGGCAAATTTACGTCCAGTAGTTTGCCATTGCCCTGGACGGTCGGCTTTCTTGATACCACTGTCTAAACCAACGCAAGGCGCATGGCCCGCAGCTGGGATCGAACCCGGCATCTCGGCATTACGAAGCGTTCGCATCGACTTAGCTAGTATATATATATATATATATCACTGCACTGAGTTTAGTCGATTAAGAACCAACATCACAGCACACGTGACATTCCTGTTAGCCCGATGTGTCTATTGTTAACTATAAGTACAAAGATCACTTCCTATGGTACCAGTAGCAGTTTCTTTATGTGTCTGTCTTCCCTTTCATCAGAGTTCTGAGGACGGCCAGATCATCTCATTCCTTCCCGCGGTACAACTGCTCGTTGTCCACCTTTGAATATCCAGTTTGTTCGTTCGTTATCTTGATCCCAGAAAGTATTGACCACGTCTGGCTTGACATGCACCAGTTCACCATACACTGGTGTAGAACCAGACAGTCAGTGCTCCTGTTCGTTTCCATTACACCAGAATTACCAGAACAAAAGATCCAAACGACCCTACTATCCGAGTTTCCTTGCTACACTTGCCATTCTGAATAGAGCGTGCTTGTCTCTCCTTTTCGTAGCATGATTTGTAAGCTTGATACAATGATGACTTGTGTGTCTGCTGATTCGGAAGTCATATGACAGTTGCAGTGACTGTTCTGCCACAGCACCCATGTTAAATCACTAGGCTTTATATAAGGAACCTGTTTTTACCTTCTCTGAATTAGCACACACACACACACCCAAACAAAAGGGGAAAGGGGGGCAGCGTCATTCTCTACATCTGCACTACTATATGGGTCGACTAAAAATTTATAGGAAATGTAAACAGCCATACCGTTCTGCTGCAAGCTCAGCACATTTAACCACACCGGGGTTCACATAAGACATGTTTTGCTTTATCGTAGGATCGGCGTCGTATGTACAGAGACTGGCATGGGGTTTGGCAGCGTCGTGCCGGCCAAGACAGCAATGGAGTGTACACAGATCTCAGTGCATTGTGGGAGGCATCGCGAGGCAGCAAAACAAGAGAAGAATTTGCAAAGGAACTGTACGACAGCTACAGGGAATTCCAGAAATGCAAATTCGCCACAAGGGCTAAGCGGTCAAGCGACGATGGAAAAGCAGAATCAAGTGAACATTCAGAGGGTATGGCGGTTAATTTTAACGTTGATTAATGCTTTTCATATTGTTGGTTATTGTCGAATAATGCTTTACTTTTAATATTGCAAGATTTATGTAAATAAAGTCTCTTAAGTATTCCACACCCACCCCAGACAGTTCTTCCAAAAACCAAGATCTTCTGTGCTTATTCATTTTAACTATGGAAGTTGCAAGTTATGTGTGCTTATAATTTAAAAAAAAATTGAAACTCTCTGCTCAGGACAAAAGGAAACAGGTTGGTAAAACTGACTGGCTTTAATATGTTCTCATGTCCTTAAGAAACAAGTGAAAGTTCAATGAAATAAAGACCATGAGGAGTACTGGGTATGTGCTGCCTTTCTAGCCCACAGTTGAGAACTATTCAGCCCTCGGTGGATGACGTCAATGTTATGCTGGTCTTGTTGACCTGACTTATCATTTCCAAGTACATCCTTGTGTGGGTTCGGTGTTCAGCATTGTGAGGGAAACAAGAACAGTCCCAGTGCCTTCCCAAAAGTCGTGAGAGTCGACTAATCGGGGGGCTTCCTTTGAAGTCAGAGTGCATCTGCCTGAGTGACAAGGAATCCACAGTTTGGATACAAATCAGTCAATGTTTAAAAAGGGATGTGCCCGCAACGCTCAGGTTTTGGATCAAGACTAAAGTTCTGTGGAGGACGAACAACCAGAACTTTCCGCTAGAGTTCACAGCCGGTGAACGCAAGGCTGAAAAGGATTAACAATTTAAATATATCTTTTGAATTCAAAAAAAAATATTTGTCTTTGCATGTTTTCATTATTTCAGCATGTATATATGTCTGTGTCGGCTCAGTGGCTAAGTCGATGCGAACGCTTCGCTTCGTAATGCCGGGGTGCCAGGTTCGATCCCAGCTGCGGGCAATGCGCCTTGCGTTGGTTTCGACAGTGGTATCAAGAAAGCCGACCGTCCAGAAGCAATGGCAAACTACTGGATGTAAATTGCCTAGAGAAACCACACAACAGCCAGGGGCTGTTAGGGCTGGTTCTGCAACGTCCTGTAAAGGATAAGCAACTAACCTAACTATATGTCTGTGTTTGAGGGTGGATGAGAAGGACGTGAATATTTTCGAAAACATTCCATAATTTTCTTAAACATGTAAAAGTTTAACTTTAACTTTTGAACTGGAAAGTACTGGAAGATCCTTAGGAAGAGAAGAGGAAAACAGTGGCTTTTTCAAAATTAAACAAAAAATCGAGGGTACTGGCTTATAAACAAAGTCAATTGTTGTAAACTAAAACATCTTGGTCATCGCAGGACCTAAACGCCGTTATGGTTTGGACAAAGAGCGATAGGAGGTTTACTGGAAGAAATAGCAGGGGTCGACCAACTTGACTGTAAACACGGGATATCAAGAATACCCTGGGCGTCAAAGTTACAGCGGCGGAAACGTTGGACCCTATGGCTTTCTGGTGTGCCGTAATGAAATAGCAGGGATCGACCAACTTGACTGTAAACACGGGATATCAAGAACACACTGGGCGTCAAAGTTGAAGCGGCGGGAACGTTGGACCCTCTGGCTTTCTGGTGTGCCGTAATGAAAGCAACGTTCAGCGAAGGACCTATTGCGTGATGATGATGATGAAGACGGTGACGATGATGATGATGATGATCATGATGATGATGATGGCGACGACGACGACGCGAAAGTTTTGTTTTTAGTTTCGAAACATTAGTTCATTTCATGTGATCTGTGACCAGTCATTGTCTTTAATGTGATCTGTGACCAGTCATTGTCTTTCATGTGATCTGTGACCAGTCATTGTCTTTCTTGTTTTCAGAACACCTCAGATTGAAAAGACACGTTCGATCTACAGAGCCGCCCAAAAATACCAGTGTTCAAGTGGACTGGAAAACAGTGCTCATTAATTCGTCTTTCAATAAATGGAATTTTCTTGACGACCCATCGATAACGGCTAAGTATGGTTTTCATGATACATATTCATGTTCTAAGTTGTACCAATCCTGATATATGAATGTGAAATTAGTGAAACATTTTGTAGAAGCGGCAGAAATGTGGCTTTATAGACGAATGGTGAGAACACCCTGGGCAGATAACAAGAGTTTAAAAAATGTCTATAAAGAAATTACCTCATGAAGACAAATGTTACCCACATTAGATTGAGACATTCTGCATTTTTTGGTCACGTCATGAGAAAAAGAACACTGAGTCATTGTAATGGCTGTTGATTAGAAGGCAACATTTTGTATTCTTCCAAGCGTCATAAAGGGAAAACTGGACCATTGTGATGGCTAGAAAGTTGATTAGACGGCAACATTTTGTATTCTTCCACGCGTCATAAAGGGAAAACTGGACTATTGTGATAGCTGGAAAGTTGATTAGAAGGCAACATTCTGTATTCTTCCAAGCGTCATAAAGGGAAAACTGGACCATTGTGATGGCTAGAAAGTTGATTAGAAGGCAACATTATGTATTCTTCCACGCGTCATAAAGGGAAAACTGGACCATTGTGATGGCTGGAAAGTTGATTAGAAGGCAACATTTTGTATTCTTCCACGCGTAATAAAGGGAAAACTGGACTATTGTGATAGCTGGAAAGTTGATTAGAAGGCAACATTCTGTATTCTTCCACGTGTCATAAAGGGAAAACTGGACCATTGTGATGGCTAGAAAGTTGATTAGAAGGCAACATTTTGTATTCTTCCACGAGTCATAAAGGGAAAACTGGACCATTGTGATGGCTGGAAAGTTGAATAGAAGGCAACATTTTGTATTCTTCCACGCCTCATAAAGGGAAAACTGGACTATTGTGATAGCTGGAAAGTTGATCAGAAGGCAACATTCTGTATTCTTCCACGCGTCATAAAGGGAAAACTGGGTTATTGTGATGGCTGGAAAGTTGATTAAAAGGCAACATTCTGTATTCTTCCACGCGTCATAAAGGGAAACCTGGACCATTATGATGGCTGGAAAGTTGATCAGACGGCAACATTTTATATTCTTTCACGTGTCATAAGGAGAAAACTGGGACATTGTGATGGCTGAAAAGTTGATCAGAAGGCAACATTCTGTAGTCTTCCATGCGTCATGAGAAGGGGACAACTGGAATGCGCCTGACAGTGGTTAATTTGAAGGTGAAGAGGAAGTGTTAGAGAGAGAGAGAGAGAGAGAGAGAGAGAGAGAGAGAGAGGGAGAGAGAGAGAGTGAGAGAGAGAGAAAGAGAGAGAGAGATAGAGAGAGAGAGTGAGAGAGAGAGAGAGAGAGAAAGAGAGAGAGAGAGAGAGAGAGAGAGAGAGAAGAGAGAGAGAGAGATGGGAGGGGGAGGGGAGAGAGAGAAATTCTGGAGTGTCTGACATCGTGACATGGGAGAACATCTGCTTCAGAAATGACTAAAAATAAACCAGACTGAAGACCCGACTGCCAACTATAAGATATTTACTTAGTAGAGTTTTGTTTTTAAACTGTGTTTTGTAGATGTGAGATAAACTTTGTGTGTTTTGTAGATGTGAGATAAACTTTGTGTGTTTTGTAGATGTGAGGTAAACTTTGTGTGTTTTGTAGATGTGAGGTAAACTTTGTGTGTTGTTATGTTGATGTGAGGTAAACTTTATGTATTGTTATGTAGATGTGAGATAATCTTTGTGTGTTGTTATGTTGATGGGAGGTAAACTTTATGTATTGTTATGTAGATGTGAGATAATCTTTGTGTGTTGTTATGTTGATGTGAGGTAAACTTTGTGTGTTGTTATGTAGATGTGAGATAAACTTTGTGTGTTGTTATGTAGATGTGAGAAATCTTTGTGTGTTGTTATGTTGATGGGAGGTAAACTTTATGTATTGTTATGTAGATGTGAGATAAACTTTGTGTGTTGTTATGTAGATGTGAGACAATCTTTGTGTGTTGTTCTGTTGATGTGAGGTAAACTTTGTGTGTTGTTATGTAGATGTGAGATAATCTTTGTGTATTGTTATGTAGATGTGAGATAAACTTTGTGTGTTGTTATGTAGATGTGAGGTAAACTTTGTGTGTTGTTATGTAGATTTGAGATAACCTTCGTGTGTTGTTGTGTAAATGTGAGATAAACTGTGAGTTGTTATGTAGATGTGAGATAAACTTTCCGCGGTGTGATATAAATGTAAGATAAACTTTGTGCGTTGTTACGTAGATGCGAGATAAACCTTCTGTGTTGTTATGTAGACGTGTAACAAGTTACACTTGTTAAAAGCTAAATGCATAATACCAGGCAGCTTCAAATGAAAACCCTAATATTGTGACAGAAATGACAATAATCATGTAATTGTCTTGCAACATGCTAATGTTCTTGTTAAGAAGTCCAAGAGTGCTTAGCACCTGCTAAGCGAACACCGTAACGTCATAATTACAGTTTAAAGATGGTCGCCCCACTTTTGACATGCACTAATGATGATGGGGAAAGAGTCGAATTAACAAATGCGCCCTGGTGTACGTATTTGTGCTCGTGTGTGTGTATATGTGTATATATATATATATATATATATATATATATATATATATATATATATATATGTGTGTGTGTGTGTGTGTGTGTGTGTGTGTGTGTAAGGAGGGGGTGCATGAGTGTATCTTCCTCACACACTTTATCTGTTTCTTTGACATTTGTTTGTTTGTTTTAGTTATTATGAAGAACGAGACGAAGAATACCAAGCATCGATGACCTACGCCTACATTACAGCAAAGCTAGATCCTCTTGTTGTGGAAGAGTCGGGCCACTTGAAGAACGACCTGATAGCTGCCTGTAGGTTTGGGGGCTACCAGTGTTCACCTGCGTAAGTTGCTTCGTTTTTGCAGTTACAAATCAGTAACACATTGTTGAAAACAATATTCATAATAATAACAATTATTATAATAAAAACTATTATTTTTTAAATTAGATGTTTATTATAGCTGATAATGTTTGTTTTTCTCAGTGCCGTCAACCTAACTCATTAATTTTGTTAAGCTTGCCTTCATTTTTTCTGTCGCAAGTGTTCATCATCATAATCCCGTAACACTACGTGTTGTTAGGTCATCAGTTTGTGTTGACTGTCTGATCAGCTCTCTCCACCTTTGGCGGTCAGTTGCGATGGACTTCACGGTTGCATGCCTGTCTAGTCAGTCAGGTTCTGTAACCAGGTCTTTCTTGGTCTGTCTCTTCTCCTCCTTCCTTCTAATGAGCCCTGCAGTATTGTTTTTTAGAGGCCGTTAGACCTTATAACGTGTCCATACCATTTGGACAAGTCCTACTGTGAAGTAATTAATATATGTGTGAGAAAAAGAGTTTCTAATAATAAATGTACAGCGTGGTGTATTCCGTAGAATACCACAGAATCACTGTGTTCACTGTTGCATAATTAGAAAACTTTGAGATTGTGATACACACACTGCTTTAACTGTCTAATACCTAGACCCTTTAGGAAAGCAAAGAACAGTAACAATTTAACATACAATACATGTAAATGGTGACGATCAATCAGTCGATCTGTTTGTCTCCTCCTGGCTGTTACCTAACTATTTACCACACCAACCTGAGACTTACAAATCTAAATGTGGAAGGCAGACGAACAATGCAGATTGCCAGATACCTCTTTCAACTTCCAGAAAAAGTTATAATTAGGGCACCCGTAACGGCTAAACAAGCCAGGTACAATCTGCAGTGTTTTGCTTGTAAGGACGTGGTTATGTGGGAAATAAGGGTTGGTGTAAGATTGCTACCTCACCCCCACCCCCTCCTTTTTAAAAGTAACAAAATTAAGTGAAGGACCCCTTCACACGCTTTGAAGAATATTGAGAGGGACCTATATTTTATAGACCGGTTGGCACTTGGGCATCACGCCTGTCCATTTTACTTCCCAGGAACTTCCCTGGTATCTATTTAAGGCTGGGTCGAGCCTGGGAGCCAAGACAATTTTTGGAAGAAGTTCGGTTCCAGCAGGATCTGAACCCTCGACTTTCAGATTCACAGGCGAGTGTCTAGCTGCTGTACTTGGCCCCCCCCCCTACTCTTTCAAGGGTGAGCTGCAAAATCCAGTCAGTCGTGAACAATTTTACTGACAACCTGATGGTAATACAGTCGAGTCTGGTAAGTAGAAGTTGCAGGGAACTAAGAAGAAAATGCTTCCACTTATCAGGACCTCTACTTATCCAAACAAGACACACAATAGAAAAAATTGCCGAGACTAAGTTGGTAATGTCGAAATTCGACTTATCCAAGTTCGACTTAAGGGGACTCGACTGTACTTTCAAATCTACATGAATGCCAGGATGCATTCTCATTCTTCTTGTTTGCTTTTACAGTATGTAAACTCCCGAGAAAAGTTTTGGTTGTTCGTCCATTTTCGGACTTTGATTTTGTTCAAGAACTTGAGTTTTAAATGCATATTTATTTTACAGACCTAGCTTTTATGTTTGCAGACTGTTGGTTTTTCACCTCTCAGGCAGATGCACTCCGACTTCGAAGGAAATCCGTTTTACAGATCTGCCTCATTTGCATGCAAAAGGCTGGCCCCTTGCCCTTCAGGCAGATGCATTTGGACTTTGACAGAAAGACCCGAACTAGTCTACTTCTACGGCATGCTTATTGGAGGTGATGGGGAGGGGGGCAGTGAGTCTATTAATCCCCCTCCCCTCCCGTCGCCACACCCCTTGAGCCCGCGACACCCACACAAGGAAAAGGTGAACTGTTTTCACTGATCGTGGGTTTCAAGTGTGATAAGTTGTCATCGTTTTGACACACACATGCCACATCTCCTACCAAGTGCTAATAAACAATTTTCATTGATTAAATTGACATTGAAAATATTCCTATACTTTCTGTTTCACATTCTTAGGATCCAAATTTAATTTTGTAAATGTATATCCAATGTCTAAACTTATTTCCTATACATTAATTTATAATTGTGCTGGTAATCCTTTGCATTTGTTATTCAATTTTACGTCTTTCGTTTAGTGTTTCTATGTTTTTTTATTTCTTGTGAAATTCACTTTTGACTACTATTTTAAATTCACTCACACACACACACACACACACACACACACATATATATAGTACAAATATTTCAGCTTATTAATATTTGTCATACAATTCGCAATAACGAAAATTATTTCATATTAGTATATAACCTAGTAAATGAAAAGCAATATTGTATTTCTTCTAGGAATTTCACGTACTTTCACAGCTACAAGTACGGTAACTGCTACACGTTCAATTCAAAAAAGTCTGCAAACGGTACAGATCTGTACACAAAATTTCCAGGCCCTGAGTATGGTAAGTTGCACTTGGCTTTACCGTTGTTTCTACACATGTAATCTTTTATACACCTTGCATTTTATGAACTACCTTTGTTGAATGATTTACAGTAATCATAATACCTTTGTAGGTTTTTCACGCATCCTTGCGGCTATTTTATTTTTCTTTAAGATCTTCAGTTGCTTTTGAGTTATTAGCTCATTCTGTGTGAATAAAATCCCCATATATTGATCAAAGATTTCATGTGTAACAAGTGTGAGTTTTCCAAGGGTAAGACGTATGTCTCCAGTTTATAGATAGATAGCAGTGATTTTTACAAGCTATTGAATGAATCAAGAAATAACATAACTGCACTTGGGAAATTACTACACGTGCTCCATCTCCTTCTTCAGTAGCTAATAGTATCTGTTGCAGCCTGATTGAAAGATTTGAGGATGTATTAGTCCTCACTAATTACACACCAGTCAATCCAATGCTTAGCTTTCACAGATAACGGAGAGAGCGAGAGAGAGAGAGACAGACAGACAGACAGACAGACAGACAGACAGACAGACAGACAGACAGACAGACAGACAGACAGACAGACAGACAGACAGACAGACAGACAGACAGACAGACAGACAGACAGACAGACAGACAGACAGACAGACAGACAGACAGACAGACAGACAGACAGTCAGATAGACAGATAGACGGACAGACAGACAGACATAGGACTTATTTACACGTCGCTCTTGATGAAAATATCGCAGACTGCATGGACATTTACTTAGGTTGAATTTCCAAATTGGAAAAACCAACCCTAAATATCCCTTTTTTGACATACTATGATTTTTAGTTTTCACTGAGAATTTGTGTTGCCATACATCTAATGTCAGGAGCCATGGTAACACAGTGAACTGCACGTCTGCCGGAAAATTTTGGAATCAGCATCGAAGTGAAATTTTCCCGAAGTTCACATTCACCCTTAGATCGACAGCTGCCAATATTGGTTTAAGGAAATGCCTGGAAGTAAATGTTGACAACACCCTCCGTCTAATACTGCTTGGACTATACAATGTGGGTCTAACAAGATATCACGGATACAACAGTGGCGTAGAAATCATCCTTTGTTGTTGGCACCATTTCGTCTTTCAAAGTGATAGTTAACTCTGGTACCCATTACATAAAGGCTGGGTAAACTCCGGGAACCGCCAGGTTTCTAACACCGGCCGTGGGATGTAGCAAGTCGCAGCTGGATTTAAAAGCCAGTCTCCTATCGACTGCGCTAATGCGGCCCCTACTCTTATATGTTAGTCACTTGGATAGTAAGCTTTAGCTTTCGATGCCCTCATCAGCAATGCTTTATTCCTGAATTTGGGGGTAAAAAAAAGTAAAGGTCCCTTTTCCATGCTTTTAGGCGTATAGGGCATATAGGGCTAGACCTATATTTTTATAGACCAATCGGCACAAGATGGGTGATGTGGTAAGCATCACACCGGCCGCCTTTACTTCCCGGGACTGCACCCAGTACCCACTCAAAGCTGGGTCGACCTGGAAGCCAATGTCAGTTTTGAAAATAGTTCGGGTCCGCCAGGGAGAGAACCCACGACCTTCCGATCCGCGGCGAGTGGAATTTGGGGGTAACTTTTGTTATTGAATTTAATGACATTTTAATACTCTTAGCCAACAGAGAAACTGAAATTGTTTATCATGGCAACGAAGAAAACCTCCGACATATTATGCTTATATGTATATAGTGCAAGAATTATAGGTTTATGGTGCTAGGCTTATAGGTATATAGTGCAAGAATTATAGGTTTATGATGCTAGGCTTATATGTATATAGTGCAAGAATTATAGGTTTATGGTGCTAGGCTTATAGGTATAGTGCAAGGATAATAAATTTATGGTGCTGACTTATCGCGCCTGATGTTGTCAGTGTCAGGCCGGCTGCTTTTTTTTTCCTTCAGAATATTCCTGTTGCTGGTTTTAGGCTAAATCAATCATTCACTTGTTAAAATATCTTTATCTCCATACGAATAAAACAACATGATCAGTAATTAATGAACAGTTAATGAATCAATCATGAGCTGAAATCATTGCATTAGAGCAACTCGTACTAGTGTTTTACCAGTAGATAAGCCTGAAATCTATAAGTGTCCTGAGGTTTCCAGATAGAATATTTAGATCCCTTTAGGGTTCCGAGGCCTAATTCTGAGATGGAATAGGGTGGGATGTGTGATGATAGATTCACAGCCTCCTAACAAGCATGTTGTACAAGAAGACTAGGGAAGTTTCCTTCAAAGTCGCAGTTCATCTACCTGAGATGCGAGGAACCAACCATCTGCATACTTATATCTGTAAAACAGTTGTGCACGCAAAACTCAACTTCTGAAACAAAGCACAGTCTAGATATGGACGAGCAAACATTATTTTCTAATGGAGTTTACAGGCGGTGAACTATACGAAGAAGAGTAATAGAATATTACGATTGTAAGGAACAAGTAAACTACGGGGATTTTTTTTTTTTTTAAAGTGGAAAACATACATCATCATTTTCTTTTCCATCTTCTAGGTCTAAGATTAGAGCTCTTCCTGGATCAGGAGAACTATGTTCCATACTTGGCAACCGAGGCTGGTATCAGGGTTTTGGTTCATCGTAAAGGTACAATGCCATTTCCTGAAGACGAAGGTATTTCCATTATGCCTGGCCGCTCAACGTCAATCGGTATAAGACAGGTAAGTAAAGTAACAAGTTAAGGACCTTTATTCACGCCACCTGGTGTATTGGGCACATAGGGTTAGGCCTATATTTCATAGACCAATCGGCACTGGGGAGATGATGTGGTCGGCATCTTATCCGCTGCCTTGCCTTTCCATGAATGTTACCTTGTACCCACTTGACGCTGGGTCGACCTGAGAGCCAATGTCATTTTTGAAAAAGTCTGACTCCGTTAGGATCCGAACCAACGACCTTCTGATCCGCAGGCGAGTATCTAGCCGCTACGCCACGGCGGCTCTCGTGGGGCAGGTCGGTCTCCTTGCTGCATTAATTAAACCTGGTGCCATATCCACAACTACAGTTGACTGTTATGATCAACATCAACCAGTATTAGACTTATAGACTGCCTAATGCTTTCATTCCATTAGGTATCTTCTCCAGGAAAAGGTTGGGCTATAATGGACCAAGGGAGTGGCTGTGGTGTAGTGGCTAGACGCACGCCTGCAGATCCGAAAGCTGTGGGTTCATGTCTTGACAGAGTCGGACCTTTTCTTTTCGAATATGATCACAGCACCCAGGTCGACCCAACCTTAAATGGGTACCGGGTAAAGTCCTGGGGAGTAAAGGCGACCGGCGTGATTTGACCACATCACCCACCGATGCTAATTGGTCTATACAGTATAGGTTCAGTACGACTGTAGTCATGAAAGAGGGTCCTCTGCATTACTTTCTAATGGACCATATGTTCGTTTGCCTTAAACTTTTCTGTCACTTATAGTTTCAATATGATGCCATAGCTTCTTTAGTAAGGTCAAAGTATATTTTTATTTGCTTTATCAAGTCTCTGTTTATCCTCTGTATCTCTAAACCCGTTGGCGCATCGTGTCTATAGTACTAGACATACATTTCCACAGACCAACTGTCACTCGGTAGGTGATGGGGTCACCATCACGCTTGCCTTCTTTTTTCTTCCCTGGCACACAGTTTAGGTTGGGTTGATCTGGGAGAAAAGGTCAAATTTCAAAACATCTGCCTCTATGCAGAGCTGAACCCTATACCTTCAGACCCGCAGACAAGCGTCTAGCCACAGCGCTACCCGGCTTCCATGCCTAGTAAGATGCAAGATGTTATTCTTAGATTACTCTAGAGCAGTAAGTCTCCAACCTGGGGGTAGGGTGTTCAAGCCATTTTGAAATTGAGTCCGTTTGTACTTATAGTCGGCTCTGTGGCTAAGTCGATGCGAACGCTTCGTATTGCCGGGATGCCAGGTTCGATCCCAGCTTCGGGCCATGCGCCTTGCGTTGGTTTGGACAGCCAGTGGCTGTTAGGGTTGGTTCTGCAACGTCCTGTAAAGGATACGCAACTAACCTTTGTACTTGTAATAACTCAGGATTTTCAGCTTTAACAGTTATTGGAAAAAGGAGGGGGGGGGGGGGGGGGGGGAGGCTGCCAGGTTGATGTGGACAGTGATCTCCTTTGTGCTTTGTCCAACATCAGGTAGAAAAATAGCAGATTTCGTCAAGACAAAATAGTGTCAATTATCATATTGACATTTGGACACTAAATTACCAGTTGTTGGGGATTGTTTCTTTTGTTTTTTAACACCGATGTATGTGCGCGCTTTTATCCAAGTTTATGTTAAAAATGTTTGTGGCTTGTCTGCTGTCTTCTTTTTTAAAATCACATTTTATTATAGAAGGGGTGGGGGTTGGATTATACTCTTAAAAGAGACTACTGCTGTAAATCATGAGTTCTCAACTAGTGCTCGGTGATGTGATGAGGACGAGGCGTTTACTTCCCAGGGACTCCACGGCCGATCCAGATGGGGAGAATGGGGGGGGGGGGGGAGGGGAACTAAAATTAACAATTAAGAAACAAAAGTAAATATGCTGCAGCTAGTTTTAAAATTATTGAGAGACAAATTGCCATCTCTCTGAGTGTAGAGTGTCGACCATATCGCCTGGTCACTCCCAGCTATACAATTCTCTTCTGTGAGTGTAGAGTGTCGACCAGATCGTCTGGTCAGTCCCAGCTATACCATTCTTTTCTGTGAGTGTAGAGTGTCGACTAGATCTTCTGGTGACTCCCAGCTCTACCATTCTCTCCTGCGAGTGTAGAGTGTCGACTAGATCTTCTGGTGACTCCCAGCTCTACCATTCTCTCCTTCGAGTGTACAGTGTCGACTAGATCTTCTGGTGACTCCCAGCTCTACCATTCTCTCGTGCGAGTGTAGAGTGTCGACTAGACCTTCTGGTGACTCCCAGCTCTACCATTCTCTCCTGCGAGGGTAGAGTGTCGACCAGATCTTCTGGTGACTCCCAGCTCTACCATTCTCTCCTGCGAGTGTAGAGTGTCGACTAGATCTTCTGGTGACTCCCAGCTCTACCATTCTCTCCTGCGAGGGTAGAGTGTCGACCAGATCTTCTGGTGACTCCCAGCTCTACCATTCTCTCCTGCGAGTGTAGAGTGTCGACTAGATCTTCTGGTGACTCCCAGCTCTACCATTCTCTCCTGTAAGTGTAGAGTGTCGACCAGATCTTCTGGTGACTCCCAGCTCTACCATTCTCTCCTGCGAGTGTAGAGTGTCGACTAGATCACCCGGTCACTCCCAGCAGTAGCATTCTCTTCTGTGAGTGTAGAGTGTCGACCAGATCGCCTGGTCATTCCCAGCTATGCCATTCTCTTCAGACAAGAATAATTGACTCGTGCCTCTGCATTGTTAATTTGCTCCTAAACGGCTTTGCTCATATTTGAATTGAATTTGTGAACATTGGTTCTGGTAATTTTCAGGTATGTAAGTATTATTAATTACTGACTTTATGGAACATAATTTACAGTTTGAATAAGCTCGTAGTTTAAACTATACAGATTACAAACAATATTCCCTGCCCCCTCCACCCCCCCCCCCCCCCTCGGTATCACATCTAGCCGCATCAGCGGAGAACGTCTGAAGTAAGTTCAATTAAATTAATTCCAAACACGAATAATGTGTAAGACATAGGGTGCGACAGGTCTAAGGGGCTGTACCAAATAAATTGATTCTAACAAGAGTTTAGCAAGTAAAAATAGCTGGGAACTGCTGCCCTAAGGGATGCAGAGGTGCTGAACCACACGTTACATGTACCCCGACCGTGGTTCACTCTGATCATGACCCATATGCATCTGTTGACGGTCTTCATAGGTTCCCTACCGGGCGATTTGGCTAACTAGACAGGATGGATGCTTCCTTTTGAACTGTAGTTTTTTGCCTGAGTGGCAATAAATGAACAGTCTACACGCACATAAGCCAGATGTCTAAAACGGATGTCACGTAACGCTCAATCCAAAGAACAAGGCCACAGTCTAGAAGTTAATACACAACCAGAACGTTCCGCAAGAGTTTACAATCGGTAAACACTAAGAAGAAGAGGAAGATCACCATAAAGACCATAGAAACTCATAGTCTGCTTGCTACAAAGAAAAAGCTTGTTGCGTATAGTGTGTTAGTTTATCGCTTATCCTTGCTATGTTCTCGACACGGTACACAAGGTATCCTTTACTCGACTCCCGCCTCCTCACGGCGTGTGCAGCGACAAAGCCAAGAGAACAGACTACTACGAGAAAAGCTCAGGCAGCGAGTACACCAAACTGGCCTGTCTCAAATCCTGTTACCAAGACCTGGTTCTCAACGCCTGCAACTGCTCGGTACCTTTCTACTATGTACTGGAAAACACAACAATCTGTAATATGACAGAGATGTTCACCGGTAAGTTTTCGGTCTGTCTTTTTGGAAGTCTGTCTGTCTGTCTAATTATCTATTTTCTCCGCTTCGTCCCAGCGTCGATACATCTATCTGTGTGTGTGTTGTCTATCTATATGTCTGTTGTATGTTATTCTATGTATCTGCATATATCGATTATATGTATCGAAAAAATCTAAGTACACTAGGAAAACAACACTTCTGTTAGTGATTGTGGTGAAAAACACAGAGGACGTGTATGTGCAATAATAATACGATAGTTTAGTTAAGCCTCTATCTGCCTCTAGATAGGAATATAGAAGAGATGTACGTATTGTTTTTGAGGCATATGCCAATACATAGAAATAGTTTAGGGAATGCTATAAAGACTTCGGAATACAATAGACGTTAATCTCTGTGACGAAACTATGTAGGGAAGAGTGGAGACACTTATAATATAGTAACATATAAAGGCAGAAAGTCTGACCCTTTTCAAATAACATCTCGTTTAAAGCAATGTGATGCTCTGTCCCGACTCCTTTTCAACTTGGCACTAGAGAATATAATAAAGAAATTGAAATAGGATCGTACAACACAAAGGGAGACATTTTAATAATACTTGGTTCTGAAGATGGCTTTGACATCGTTAGTAAAAATGAAAAAGAAACGATAAAAATACTGACTCTCTTAAAGGCTTAACTCCCTATTCTCGTATTCTTAGCAGTGAGGTGGACGCGTTGCTTCCAAAGTCCTCGGAACGTTCTATTTCTCTAAGGACCTTGACAATGTCGGCGCAATCCATAGATTGGCTATCCATAGAAACTAATGCAGAGCCTGCCAAATTTTCAGCTCTTTCATTTCCAACAACACCAGTATGACCTAGGACACAAATATAAAAGTAACTGCACACACAGGAGAGTTTTGCAATTACTCAACCCACTGTCTGTAGATAGAGCCTGACTCGACCCGTCGGATCATGCTCATGGAATCACTCAGCACAAACACACAGGAATCGTCCTGTGATTCTAGACCTGTGATTCTTTGATTGTCTGTGTGGGTATATTTGTGTGTGTGCGTGTGTGTGTGTATGTGTGTTTGTTTCCGTGCGCGCGCATGTGTGTATACAATGTTATAGTTAAATATTACTCCCCTGCGTATTCCAGAAATGTGCGTCAATCGCATATTTATGATTCAAGGAGAAAACATCGAGAAGTGTGACCAAATGTGCCCCATTCCTTGCAAGTGAGTCAAATCTCTCACTCACTCTCTCTCTCTCTTTTTCTTTCACACACACAATCTTTCTCTCTCTCTTTCTCTCTCTATCTCTCTCTCTCTCTCACACACACACACACACACACACACACACACACACACAACATAGGGTTATGAACACAGTTTCATATTTCTAAAATATCAGGATTTTAAGTAAGCTGCAGGCAGTATGGCAGCACACCCCTTGTGTTTACAACGTTATCAGCACCGATCAGTTAAGAAAGCAATGACGAACTTCAGATAAAATAGTAAAGATTTTATAGTAAAACCACAAACAGCCAAGACATGCAAGGGCTGGTTTCCGACATCCTGGAAAGGACATGCTGTTTGTTTGTTTGTTTGTTTGTTTGTTTGTTTGAGTATCCAGAAGCCATGAGTTGTTAACCCTTAGGCTCTGTACTATGGATATCGCAACCTTTCGGACTTGATTCATTGTAAATACCGTAAATCTGGGAGAAATGTGGCTTTTCTGCCTACCCCCGGGAATGAACCCGGACCACAAGAAGCTCGTCACCCGCTCACCGCGCAATCCGGTTTAACCAACTACGCTAGAGAGCCGGGCGGAAAGGATATGCAACTGACTAGTTCAAAACTAACATGTACATTTTTATTTGTGGTTCTTTGAGTAAGGGCTGGAGGCCTTGAGCCTGAGGATTTTAAGTTCTATGTTTGGTGCCGTCGCCACTCACGGTACAGCATGTGCAGTACAGGCTAGGAATCTTTTTTACTTCCCACCCCTTCCACCGAGGCAGAAAAATGAGTGAGTGAGTGAGTGAATTAGTGAGTGAATGAGTGAATGAGTGAGTGAGTGAGTGAGTGAGTGAGTGAGTGAGTGAGTGAATGAGTGTGAGTGAGTGAGTGAGTGAGTGAGTGAGTGAGTGAGTGAGTGAGAGTGAGTGAGTGAGTGTGTGAGTGTGTGAATGAGTGAGTGAGTGAGTGAGTGAGTGAGTGAGTGAGTGAGTGAGTGAGTGAGTGAGTGAGTGAGTGAGTGAGTGAGTGAGTGAGTGAGTGAGTGAGTGAGTGAGTGAGTGAGTGAGTGAGTGAGTGAGTGAGTGAGTGAGTGAAGTGAGTGAGTGAGTGAGTGAGTGAGTGAGTGAGTGAGTGAGTGAGTCAGTGAGTGACTGTGAGTGAGTGAGGAGTGAGTGAGTGAGTGAGTGAGTGAGTGAGTGAGTGAGTGAGTGAGTGAGTGAGTGAGTGAGTGAGTGAGTGAGTGAATGAGTGAATAAGTGAGTGAGTGAGTGTGTGAGTGAGTGAGTGAGTGAGTGAGTGAGTGAGTGAGTGAGTGAGTGAGTGAGTGAGTGAGTGAGTGAGTGAGTGAGTGAGTGAGTGAGTGAGTGAGTGAGTGAGTGAGTGAGTGAGTGAGTGAGTGAGTGAGTGAGTGAGTGAGTGAGTGAGTGAGTGAGTTAGGGAATGAATGAGTGAATGAGTGAATGAGTGAGTGGAAGAGTGAGTGAGTGGGAGAGTGAGTGAGCGGGTGAGTGAGTGAGTGAAATTGAACCTAACCAAGATCGCACACTTTGCCATTAATACCCTGTGTCGCAAAGTGTAGTGCGTCATAACTAACATTAGGTCAAGTCACATAGATTTTAATTAGGGTCCCTGGCGGTTACTAAGTTACCTGAAGAACAGCCAGAGTGGGGGCTGTAATAATTAAAAATTGGCCCATGTTAGGACAGATTAGATGAGGTTGTAATCGTTTACATTAAAATATTGTCGATGCCATCCGTTATTTTATGTACTGTCTTCCTTGGGAAATATTATATTCTTGCACATTTACACAGCGATACCAAGTACGAACTGTCTGTCTCCATGGCAATATGGCCGTCAGAAAGATACCAGGTGAGTGGGTTACTATTAACTAATTCAGTACTAAGCAACTTACCCGGCGTGTGATGGCTTTCACTGACATGATCTACTTTCCCGCATTCCTTGTGAAGTATATCAAAGGAAAGTAGTAAAAGACCCTTTTCGACGTCTTCAGGCGTACTGGGCACATAGGGCGACCGATGTTTTACAAACCAATTGCCACTTAGTGGGTGATGTGGTCAAAATCACGCCGGTCGCCTTCAATTCTCAGGACTTTGCTTGGTATCCATTTGAGGATGGTCGACCTTGGAGATTTAGCCATTTAAAAAAAAAAAGTGGAGTCCGGCTCCTTCCGGACCTAAACTCACGATCTTCGGACAAAAAATTTAACCGCTACACCATGGCGGCTCCTGTCATGCATGCAGTTGTTATATTAACCTGTTCTGCTCCAACGGTTTCTTTAACTCTGTCTTATACATTTTAACTCTAGCGCACAAGACCTGGTATCACCATGTTACACACACACACACACACACACACACACACACACACACACACACACACACAGATAACAAGTTTTGTTATACTATGAGCTTTTGTGTTTTAACTTACCTTGCATACAATGACCAATGTACTTACAAGATTTAGAAGAAAAAAAAATAATTTATTATATGGTATATTGGACATTATATATTCACAATGACGTGTTTTATTAAATGTATATTGTATGTTTCCTTCATCATACAATTTAATGGATACACGAGTATAGCCAATTATCTTTACAGCCATCTACAATACTCTGTCCCACACACAAACACACACATTCGCGTGCAGCGCGCGCACACACACACCTAATACACATACACCCACACACACATATATATACACACACACACATATACACACATATACACACACAGTAAAGTCAAGTGTATTGTGATAAAAAGAACTCCACAGGGGAGCATGCACAGCAGGGCTCCACCGATCATCAGTAGAAATATCCTTCGTCGACGATTTTTTTCGGCCCATTACTTCCCTAGACTGATATGAGTCATGAAGCCTGGACCCGATCTTTCCCTGCTGCAATTCATCAGACTTTCAAACAGGAACAAGACGATATGGTGACTTTGCAAAAGGTGCTGTGAGATTTGGTGTTATACTGTCGCTGCGGTAGCAAATTAGATCAGTCGACTACCTTCACAACCAGAGTGACCAGCTTATGGTTGGTTCATCGGACAGATGTTAGACTTTGGCATTTGGCAGAGATACACCGGCAAATATTTATCAGACACTTTCGCTATAAGGGATAAGAAGCCCCTCTCCACTAGGCGCTCAGACCAGTCTACCGAGGCCCATCCCCGGCGACGTTCCGTGGCGTTCAAAGCCAGCTCGAAGCTCTTTCAGCAGCTTCACCCAGTTGTTTTAGTGACCGTTTACGCTCGTTTCCTCTCAAGCCCAGCTGCTTTAGCATATCGTATGTGGAAGTGGAGATGAGACCTCTTGGTCTACCTTGACCTTGAAGATTGTTATTTAGAAGGGGTGGGTGGGGAGGGGGTGTGGGGGGTTCCTATGCAAAGCTAGCGTCACGTGAGTAGTTAATATGTCCTATTCTAGATTTGCATTTTCAAATCACAGAAACTCGTTTCAACCGTACAGCTACACAGCACGTTTACACTAGAGCATTACACAAAACGGTTACTAAGAAATCTGTAGTACAGTGTGGGTGGGTATGTATTTCTAATTTCAAACATCTAATTTATGTTCTAAAGTTTCATTCGTCTCTATTGCCTTTAGCTGCTTCATTATTTTCTAAACTATTAATGTCTTCGAGGTAACTTATTTATTCTTCCTTAAAAGTTTATTAAAATCCCTTTAGCTTTTACAGTAAGAAAAAAAAACGTAAAAGATTAAGCTATTACTTTTACAGCCTGACAGACATCTTTGTTGAATTCATTTGTTTAACACAACACTCATAATTTGGTTTCTTCCTCAGAGTTTTCTTATCAATAAACTGGGTCAGACAAATTATAAATACATGGAAACAGAGGACAGGTTGGTATTCTTGTGGAGGAAAAAAAATGAACTCTTGATTTTTTATCTCTTTCTGTACCTTAAAAGTCACTTTTACGTCTTGATGAGGATTTGAGCACATGACTGGAAGATAGGTATGCATGCACAGTAGCTATTGCACTATTTTGTACCGAAATGGGAGTGTTTAAAATCATGCAGGAAGAAAGGAGGAATGGACTAACTGAACCTTCACGAGCATGTCGTAAAAGCAGACTAAATTAATTAGAGGTTGGCTGAAATCGAATGTGTATATGTCACAGCTTAGCTGTAAACCACAACACAATATGTCAATCACACTTCTAAAAGTAAAAGCAGACGAAGAAGATAACGTTATAAACTCTACACCTTGCTGATGCTAACTATCTGTGTCTACTTTATATAATAACAACGTTGATGTTAGTTTTTGAAATGATGACAAATTCTGACTATCATGTACTTCTAAACATTTCTTATGTTGTATATTCACACTCAGTTGGCACTGCCAATATTTTGGGTGTATGTGTATGTCTGTGTTTATTGTGTTTTATTTTTCCCCCCAAGATGTACGCTAAGTGGCTCAAGAAGACACTTTTCAGATGAGAATCCAAAAGGAGCAAATCCTAGAAACCCTGTTCAACCGTATTAAGCAGATATATTAAGGAACCCACCAGTCGCAAAGTAACATGCAACCCAATAAGGGTGGGTTATAATTATGGTAACCACATTGCTACTTTTATTTCTCCCCAAGTTTCCTCCGTATAGGTTTCAGTGCCCAATTTTGGAAAGAAAGGAATAGATACACTGACCACTAACAAGAACGTCATAAAAGGCTACTAATTAGGGGTGTTTTATTTGAAGTCAGAGTGCATCTGCCCGAGAGGCAAGTATGCATGTGAATAAGCCAGATCTGCAAAACGGATGCGTAAATAATCCAGATCTTTAAAACGGATGTGTTGATAAGCCAGATCGGTGAAACAGATGAGCACGCAAAACTCAAGTTCTAGAAAAGGACCGAGGCTCAAAAAGGGTCGAAGAACCAGACTTTTTGCCCCAATTTACAGCTGGTGACAGCCAAGAAGACAAAGAAACTGTTAGCAGAAACCGTTATCAGTCTCTCTTTGCCAATGTTCCCAAGTATGTACACGCTTTAGACTTACTTATCCATGTCTCTGTTTCAGTGCCAGCGATTTTACCAAACTCCAGATCTACTTCCAAGATCTCATCTACGAGCAGGTGGAGCAGCAAAAGGCGTATGAGGTTATTTCTTTATATAATGTATTTACGAATTAAAGTAGTGAAGGAGAATTTGCTAACAAACATAATCCTGTCCCAAATTCTGAGGTATTTCGGCCATGTTAAACGCCATGGTGGCCCGGAGAAAACGGTGATAGAGGGTACCGATTCCGGAAAACGAGTCTAGGGCAGACCTCCAAGACGGTGGATACAAGACATTGAAATTGGTTGTGAAAGCACATAGGGCGTGACGTGACAAGCGCGACGTAAAGGATCTGCTGAAAATGATTAAATTTTAAGAAAGAACCCTATTCTGGACGCATTGGAGCGTAGTGGGTAAATCGTTATAGTTCCGTATACTTATAGATCAGTGGCTCTCAAATGCCCTAATGCCGCGACCCTTTAATACAGTTCCTCTTGTTGTGATGACCCCCTACCATACAATATTTTTGTTGCTTTTTCAAAATTTCAATTAATATATGTTTTTCGACTGTCTTAGGCGACCACTGTGGAAGGATCGTATGACCCCGAAAAAGAATCTCAGGTTGAGCACAGCTGTTATAGACCAATCTGCACTCAGCGAGGGATTAGGTTATTACGCTTTTCACATTACTGCCAACCCAGTTTTTCTGACACTCATTCCAGACTTGCTGATCTGCGAGTCCAGGCCAATTGTGTTTAAATTCTCACCTTCAAGGGATTCGAATACATGGGCAAGGTTGATCTATATCACATATGTTAAAAAGCTACGAAAAGATGTGAAACCAAACAAAAAGTGGAACCATCCAGCTTCAAAATTTCCCAAATGCAAACTACAAGCGAACATTTGCGACAACAGAGCCTTTTTCAGTACATTACACAAAAAACGCACAAAATACTTTGAGTGACGCATCTCTGGGGAATGTTAAAACGTTGCTCTGTTAGTTTTGAGAATAAAATATTTATGTCATTGCTAGTTATTGGAAACCCAAACCGCTAAATTCGTAAACATGCGCTTACCATTTTGTCATGTGCTATACATTTGGAACATATTTATTTTAATTCTTGCTTTGAAATTCCGCATTCTGTAGATGGCTAAAGGTACATCATTACTTAGGGGGACTGTGTGATCTCAAGGCATCGCGTCCATCTCGAATGCTGGAGGTCCCAGGTTCAGGCCCCGGTGAGCGGTGATATTTTTTCAAGTGGACTTCTACTAATTTGCCCTTGGTCTTTGCGTGGTAGGATCAGACGCCCGTAAAAAAATCCCTTGGCAGATGGATTTGAAAATAGTAGCTGGGGTTAAAAACCTACCCAAAGTATTTCAGGATCCTAGCCGGTGCTACAGAGTTCGTTCACTGCGCTGAGATTCTTACAGGCTTGAGTCAGAGGTAGAATGGAGCACTTATGGGTTACACCTTGTTCCATGACGTTGATCGGTCGTCTAAACCTAAACCTAAACTTAGATCATTACTGACATTTCTTTTGTTTTTTAGATAGAATATATCGAACTGAATTTTTTTCGTAATGTTTTCTGTAGTCTTAAAAATTCATTTTATAATATTATACAATCCTTGACCCTATTTTTGAAGGGGAAATGAACAGACCGACTGATCCTTTATAAGCATGTCGTAAAAGGCGATAACTTAGAGGTTGCTGAAATCGGATGTGTTGGGCTGACAAGCGTAGATATCGCAACCTAGTTTTAAACCACAACACAATATGCCAACCACATTTTTAAAGTTAAACGCCGACGAGAAGATAGGGTCATAAATTCAACATTTTGCTGATGTTTACTTTCTAGTTTAGTGTAGTAAAATTGTGACAATACGCTCGGTGACTCCAGAATGTCTTTCCTCAACCTACTTTTATTTCTTTGTATTTTGAAAGTATACAGACAAATAGGGATTTGGATACATCCTTAATCTAAATAGGATGACCACATCACACCTTTAATTCTCCTGGTCCGTTGGTCATATCAAACACTACAACTTTTTCCCAGATGTTAAGTGTTAAGGTACAGAGATAAGACTGACCAAGCAGACTTACTGACTGGAGATTTGCACGCCATTTGTGGTGTCAGATAGTTATTCCCCCTGCCAGATCTCCAGGAACAGATAACAAGGGCTAATTGCCATTATCTCCCCCCTGAGGTTACCTAAACTGGAGTGCCGGTCAGATCGTCAATATTGACACAGTGAGCGGAAAGTGTTAACAGAAGAATTGACACCGTCTGATTTTATTGTGATGGCAGGTGAAGTAGACTAGAGGTGTGACTTGTCTTTTTTGCTCTGGTCAGATGAATTGACCAGGAGATCCTAGCGTGGGAATTCAAACAATTGTTGTACAGTCACTGACTGACAGCGAATAAACTTACCCACAGGGAGGAGCTGTGGTATCCTTGAATGAGAATGATTTTAGGCGTAATGTAGGAGGAGCTTGATAAAAGTTACAAAGGGATGAACTCTAGGTCTGGTAAATGAGATCCTGTCTAGCACATGCCATCTGTTGGGCTTAACCTAAGCTTGAGACAGAACTTTTGGCATCGTGGTTTCATTTTTCCAGGTAAGATCGAAATTAGGTTCAAATCTATATTTTATGATAGAGATCTGTCTTTTTGCTCAAGTGTGTGTCTTCATCACTTTGTAATACTCCTAGGCGGAGATTTCTTCATTCTCGTAGGGCACTGTCACATTGCTTTATATCCTATTTGATAGTGTCATGAATGTTTTTCGTGCACATGTGTTTCAATGTTGTAAAACCTAAATGTTGTTGTTGCCATTGAAATTTAATGAACTATCATGTTCTAGAAATCACAAGCGTGAAGATAACTTTGGCAATCTTTTCACGTGTGGTTAATGTGAATCTGTATTACATACAGCTTACACACTGAAATGTGTTTAACTCTCGGGAGGCAAATGCGGAGATTGATCCCGGAGAGAAAATCCTTGAGATTTGGTATTTGATTCGCCCCAGAACTATTGTTAGCATTCTGGGCGGGTCGATTGTTCCAAGCATAGATTCCAGAACTGGTTCTGTCTGACTGATTGTCATTTTGAGTCTGCACGAGAGATGGCACCTGACGTAGAAGACTTGACTATCATTACAGGACGTGTAGAGGAAGGCAGAAGATGTAACAGTTGGAATGTGAGACATAAGCCCTTCCAAATTGGACAGGAGTGAATGTGAGCATGAGGGAGAGATTAAATGTTTTATTTAAATAAACATGCTTGATGTTAGTATAATATACATGCTTAGTGTACATCTAGAGCAATACTACAAATATTCGCTTGTTTCTTCATTCTCCAGTTCCCCACATTGGGCAGGGACTAGTAGGGCATCCATTATTTGCCGACCGTCGAGTGTAACGACCTGCAGAAAGCAGTGAGGACGACAAACTGGAAAAGATAGGCAGGGTCTCAAGCCGACTGTCCTGACGGTGAATTCTCCTACTAGGAGTTAAGTATATGTACAAACTGTCATCAATCACACTCCCTCAACTCTACTAGCCTAAACAAGTTCATTTTATTTTAATTTCGATTTATTCAAATAAATCATGTGTGATGAGTTTCATGATAGTTGAGTAAATTGTGTACTTAGGTTTACTTTGTGCATATTAGTTTACTTCAGCTAAACAAATATTTAAATCACTTGATGGGGGCTTTAAAGTAATGCCAGGAGAGGAGAATAGTCGCAGGGGTTAACTGTGTATCGAGATAATATCACAGTGGGTGTATCCTGATATCTATCTATCCCTTCTCCTACTCCTGTGTATACAAGTACAGCAACTTTCATTTCATGGAACGAGCCACTCGCTGTTTTCTTGGCTATCCAGGACTGTCTAGGATCAACATAGCTTAGATAATAGTCCAGTTTCTCACGTGGGTGGGCATTGTTAAGGTTCAAACCCACACCCTCACTATATCAGTGTATTTACCCACGTGGGCGCGCGACAATAATAATAACATTGATGTAAATTAATGAAAAGATGTTGTTACCATAGCCTACTAGAATATGCAGTTCTTGCTGACAATATAACACAGAAGTTAGGAACTAACGCCACAACACTCCGGGCCTACCCATAAACGGCCCGTTCTCATATTCAGCAGCCAGCACAGGAACCCAGTAACAATGCTGCCAGCTGTAGACTGACTGTACTTCTGTTCTTCTGAACATGTTTTCTACCCAGGTGTGATTTGTGAATAAACCTTTATTACAGAGTATGAGCTTGATCAGTGATCTCGGAGGCCAGTTAGGATTATGGCTGGGTCTGTCAGCAATTACAATTGGGGAAATCTGCAGCTTTCTGTTCGGTGTGGGACGGTCACTGTCTTACAAATGTTGGGGGAATAAAACGATGCAAGTAAGTGTGTCATTATATGTTGGTTACTTGATGTTAAAAAATGATATTCTTCTTTATTTCACTTCGATTATTAAATACTCTGGCAATCGCAGTTCCAACTTTACAGCAAACGGTCACCCCATGGTGGCTCTGTTCTTAGCCAACGAAAACTGGACAGAATAACTATCACTGAAACCTTGTGTGAATTGAGTTGAGTTGATTCAAGAACCGACATCACACATTCGGGGCATTCCCACAAGCGCTCCGTCCCCATCCTCACCAGCCAGTGAAGAGTTCCGATACTAATGGTGCCATTAACATTCTGAGTCTTTCCTCTTAGCCTTTCCTCCGAGCCTCGAGCATCTGCTAAAACCTCTCGGCACTTCACCGCTGCATCAATCTTACCAGACTGGTGATCCATCTGCTCTTCCGAACTGTACACGCTTTTCAACAAGGCACTTACCAAGTCTGCCTCATCATGCATCAGTATTCCACAAGTTGTGCAGAGCCAGCCAATCAGTCCGCCTATTCATTTCACAACACACCGGCGTATGCCGGTATAGAAGTACCTTGTGGGAAATGAAATAGCAATAGACCGCATTCTCCACAAAGCCAGTAGCATACACCAGCATTAAATGTATAAGGTGTGACACAATCTATTTTTCCATGCTCACCAAGCGTAAGCATTCATAACAGACAAAGTGATCAGATAGTCTTCATATGTCTGTTGTGTTTACCAACACGGCCAGTGAACGATCAAGTCATACGGAATTAAAATAGTTTATTATACAAACACAATATCAATTTGGGTACGATTATTATTTTATTTTAACAATCATATGAACACTACAGTATAGGTTGCTATGACGCTTGCTTCACAATTCTAACAGGTTATTAACTGTTATCGACTGTTTGTTTATAAAGTCGCCTCCAATGCATTGTAGAAATAACTTTCTTCTAAAGAAGTTTAACTCTTGACCATACAGTAAACTGCTATGTTGCCAAGCTACAGTTCTCTCGACTCGCAGGCTTCACGCCTCTGTCCTAACTACCCCCTTCTCATTATTTGTCTTTTCTTCTCCAAGCCCAGGTGATTTTTCACAGTCCTGACATACATGTGTGTTTTGTACTCTCCTTAGTTGTACCCATCTATTCCAATAAAATTAAAGACCATATGTTAAAGCATCTTCTCTTAACTTACATGTTTCAGGTTCAGGATGACCTGACCCCAATAACCACTATCCAGCCAGCTACTCTCCAAGAAATGTACGAAGATCTGTGTCCAGAAGCGGCCAAGTACCTGGCCCCTGAAGGGAGATCAACTTCACTCTCTGATTCAGCTTATGCTTGACCCATTCTGAATGAATCGACTTGATACACATTTATAGATTACTCAATAGATGATACAATGGCACTTTTTGTGTGTGTTAAACTATACCTATGTTAACTCCTAATGCTACAACTGTTTCTTACCTACTGTATCACCTACTGTGATACTATTTTGCTCTTAGAAAATCAGTTGCATGTCCCCTTAAGAATTATAAAGAAATTGACATATATAGATTTGTACTCATCATTGCTAAGTGATGAAACAGTAGCTACATTTAAAACCAAGCCCTATACATTATGACAGGGGCCATGCCCTCCACCCCCATATCAGACTTAGAAACACTTAATGTTCTTTCTCCATGCTCCGAAAGACAGGAAAACACAAAGCAGCTTTCCTAATGCAATCACTGAAAATCAAAACTCATGCCCAGCTGACTGCGATACCTCAGAGGTTTAGAATAGAGAGAACATGTTTCATCTGGAATGAAAATATAAAGTTTGCAGACATTAAGCTCCTTCCTAAAGTACCAAATGCCCCATTCACACCATACAGCTGCCGCCCCTTTGGCTTAAAGATAAGTGGCGATGTCACAACCACAAGAACAGTCTTTTCCAAATCATCAATGAACAGCTCTGCTATGAAAGTCAACTACAAAAGGAGATATTAACAGAATGCATCACCGCCAGAATTGGATAAGAGTTTACACAAATGATGCAGCCAAGAGGGAAATCAGCGAAGAAGATGGAGGAATATACATCATCATCATGTAGCAGGTCCTTTGCAGAACGTCGCTCTCATCACAGTCTGCCTATAAGAAACTCGGTCTCTTGCCAATTCCCCCGCCTCATGAACTTTCACACTCAAGGAGTCGCTTATATCCTGTGCCCATTTTCGTGTCAGTTGGCCTCTGCCCCTCCTTCCTGGTACCATGCCTTCTGCTATAATTTTTTCCAATCCGTCGTGGTGCTTGATATGACCAAAATATTTCAGCTTGGGAGACAGGATGCTGTTTATTAGCCAATCTTCCTTGATGTTCAGATCTTTTAAGATGTCAATATTTCTCATCTTCTTTGTCCAAGATATTCTTAGAATCTTTCTATAGCATTTCAGCTCAGGAATATACATAGAATGTTTAAATGTTTGAAAAATTATTGGATAATCTATCGCAAAAGGTTCATATTTGTATATTCCTCCAGTTACAGAGCAGAGGTAGATGCTCTTCTTGTGGCATCTCCCCCATATCAGAAAACGAACCGGTTGTAAGTTCCAGGTAAAATTTAAAAGATTTTTTTCATCCCTACTTCTAGTCAAGCTTTGGTTACATTTATATATATATATTTTTTTTGGGGGGTCGTCTTTCGTGACCTAATTTTTTCTTTGCGGCATTTCTGGTGTGCTTTATCAGTTTGATTATTTTTTTTTTTTTTTGGCTAGCCATGTCTCTCCGGGTCATTAGCTGGGAGTTCTCTGCTGAAGTTAGAAGGTGTTTCTAAGATAAATCCTTAGGAGTATTTGTTTTCGATTCGTTGTCTGCTGGACATTTGCAGTTTCTTTTCCTGACTGCAGATCACTTTCGTCTAATAGCGCCACAGCTGTTTCGCTTTCTGCAGTTCCTCCTTCAGTTCTTTCTCGAACTTGTCTGTTTTATGCAATTACCTCTCTTTAAACTGTTTTTATCTACCCTTCATTTCTAGTATCGCCCTATTGTGTTTGCCTTGGAAACTTGTCAGTGCTGATGTTTCGCCATCAGTGTGAATACTTTTGTTGAATTCTGGGATTTATTTTTGGGTGCTGGGTTTTGATGACTTGTGGTTTCGAAATTCGCTTTTTGCTGGTTTGACTGGTGAATTTGAGGTTTTGTTTATATTTTCTTTCAGGAGAACCTGTCACAAGAAACATGATAGATAGATGTGACAGGTCTCTTTAGGAGAAAAACAGACTTAAAAGCAAGCCATCACTCCTTAACTCAGGCATACCAAACTGCTAAATTGACTCGATTATATATTATCTAAGGGTTTTGTCCCAGGACAGTATTATAAAAGCAGACAGCAATTCCTGTTGTGGGAACTAGATGGTTGGTGAGACCTACTACAACAGAAAATGTGGACACCTAGGATATATCTGGCTAAAGACCAGCCCACAATTTATAAAACCACTGTGTTTCACAGTAATTTTTTGAAGAATCTTTCTTGTGGAACCAACATACATACTAATGTCTAAAATGATAAGAATGAAGGTAACATTTTAAAATTTATTGAACAAAATCCAACACCAAACATCAAACATGAACCAAACTCAGGGCCAAATAGCTAATGTAGGGCCAAGGCACTATAGATACCAATTCTATGGGACGGAGCATCAAACATTCAATCATTAGCATGATACATTATCAACTATCATTATATACTTTTAAAAAAAATAATATTCTTGAACAGGCAATCTAATGTCCTCTGGATTATCAGCAGGTTCAGATTGAGAGTTCTGCTCCTTTCTTGAACTAGACAGGAAAAGGTACACAAGCAGCATATGAATCCAGATAAAGTACTGGTCTTGCGGCAATCCCTCAATGGGTTTCGGTTCTGTTCTTTTCTTACAAATCACTTGTAGGTAACTGATAGTAATGACACAGGAATCACACTATAACCATGGCATATAGAGAAAAACTCAACACTGATGTAAAATAATGTACCACATAATAATGTTTTAACATTTTCTTCAATGAAATATTGGTACTGTTGTATAAAGTCGTGAACTGGTGTAATATTCTGTTGTAAATCAGATGGTCATTATTACGTACATCATGAGTTTGTTGCCAAAATAAATAGTTTGAATATTGCAATTTAATTATTATTTTTTATAGAAAGAGGGGCGGGGGGGGGGGGGGGGGTAGGGTTAGTATTGTTGGGGCTTTGAATAATTTGTATACATGACTTCACTTCAAGTTTTTATTCCACACATTTGTCGGGTTTTTTCGTTTTTCTTTATCTTTTATTAATTATGAATTTTATATGACTTTTATTAAAATAACTTTAATTATAGTGAAATATATTTTATTAATAATTATTCTGTCTTTCTCCGCTTATCTGCTTGATTTTAAATATTTATTCTTGGTACCACTTACACTGGGGAGCCACGTGGTGTAGCGGCTAGACTGTTGTCTGGGGATCTGAAGGTCGTGAGATTAAATTCGAATGTAGCTGGACTTTTGTTCAAAAATTACTTTGGCTGCCAGGTCAACCCAGCCTTAAGTGGGTGCCAGGTTAGGTCAATGGAAGTAAAGGCGGCCGGCGTGATGCTGGCCACATCACCCACCCAGTGCCCACTAATGAAAATTTAAATCTAGCACTGTATGCCCAATACACACAAAGGCGTGGAAAAGGGTCCGTTTCTTTTGCCTCTTCCACTTGGTTTAATTAATTACTTTCGGTTGTCAATGTACAGTGTAATAATTTCTTCATTATGTGCGATCTTGCTTAAACATATTAAACAGTTTAAAATAACATATTTTAAACAATTATTTCGTTGTAAAATGTGGACACAAACAATACATCGCATAATTTATTGCCTGTCATATTTCGCTGTATTTTGTCAGATACATTGCTATAGAGTTAAAAATCAACATACAATGAAACATGAATCGTTTTGGCTAAAATACAAAGCACTGACAAATTGGGCTGTACATTTCTCGACTGGAAATTCAAGAGTAGCAGTATGATTAGCATGGTAATTGAAATTTACCACGTTCTCTTTTCTTTACACAAAACATAAAAGTTCAGTTTTATTGATACTGCTTCAGCCAGATTTAACAAATGTCTAATCAATGCGTGGTAAAAAATTATGAAGGCAAATTCCTTATTATCTACCTGTTCAGAGATAAGCAAATACACATCCTATTGAAAAACCGGGTTCTTGCTTCTTGCCTGATCTTGAAACAGGATCTCCACTCATTTGTGTGCGAGCCATTATGTCCCAAGAGTTCAAGTTGTCACAAATAACTAACTGACGCAAAGAAACGAGCTTTTATTTGCAGACGATTATTGCTTAAGGAATTACCATGAAAATAAATACTACTAAAGTTGAAGTAATGCAGGACAGCATAATTCTTAATCCGCTACATATCAGGTTGAATGGTACTTATCTAAAGCAAGTTAAAGAATTTAAATATCTATAAAATATATTCTCGGAGGACGGGAAAATTGAACAGGACATAAAAACAAAATGCCAACGAGCCAGTGCACTTGTATCAACTGACACAATTATTAAGATATCCAAACAATAGTATGAGCACTAAGAAACAGATTATAAACAGCATATTCATATCAACTTTGTGCTCAAAGTGCCAGACTTGGGAAATATCAAAGGCTAGCCTACGTTAAATTAATACATCTGAAATTAGCTGCGTGAGAAAAACTGCCAACTTTACCATACGAGACAAAGATATACATTGATATTAGCAGACAGATTGCAGGAACAAAACCATGTAGTAAATTCATTCAGAAACAGAAAATCAGATGGTTTGGTCACTAGAAAGAATGCAGAAAAAAAAACTATCAACGCAGGCGCTCACATTAAAATATATTTATTGAATCAAGAGGCCGCCCTTTAAACTGATGACATTAAAGAACTTCTACATCAACAGGAATAACAATAGCCATAGATGCCTATTGGGCAATGGATCACAAACTGTTCCTCCACACAACGCTTAAGGGCAACTTTTAAAATAATGTTTCACTAAAGTAGAAATTGATGATGATGACTTAAACAAAATGAATGCCAAACCACCACCCCTTCGAAAATTATAAGGCGGCCGAGGCTCCCCCCCCCCCCCCGGCTCCTCATGTTTTCTTGGTGTCGGCGCCATAAATTGTCATGATAGAAAGGAATGTAGGTATTCGCTATGAGCCCTATGTGACTTTAATGACATGATAGGACGCCTTGATAATGATGATGATGGTGATGATGATAATGTCTCATCATCATCATCATCATCAGGTGCCTTGCCGACTGGCGTGGGCGATCATGCCTCTCCATAATCCACGATAACCTGCAGCATGCATCAGTTCGTGTGCCGACACACCCCTATGCCATGTAACAAGACTGTCAAGCATCTTCTCTCGTTGTCCTCCACAGATCCCTCCAGTGGTCGCAACATGTTCCATTCTCCCTCTTCTCAAAACACGGCCGAAAAATGATGACTGTCTCCCTCCGACGTCTGCGACAAGTTGCCCTCGGGCTCCCGCCTCCTTCAAAACCTACCGTTTGCTCTCTCTGGCCGTCCAAGGCACTCCAAGCACTCTTCTGCAAAACCACATCCCCGAGGCCTCAAGAAATTGTTTGACATGCCTACCGATTGTCCAGGATTCACAGCCATATGTTAAAACTTGATGTATGTAGCAAGCAAAAATTCTTTTTCTAACTCCCAATGACAAGGATATACCGCACAAGATACTCTTCATTTTATAAAATGCAGTTTTTGCTTGCCCTATTCTGTTTATGATCTCAGTTATGCATCTTCCATCTGATGTTATCCATGTGTCCAGATACTTAAATTTCTGTACTTGTCCTAAAATAACACCATCGACTTTTATTACAGATTTAGAAATAATTCGTTTCTTTGATACCACCATTACTTCTGTCTTCCGATTATTCAAACTGAGGCCCATTCTTCCATTTTCTAACACCACAATGTCTATCATTTCCTGTAGTTCTTTCTGACTTGTTGCTATTAAGACTGTGTCATCAGCATAACGTAAATTGTTTATATTGTGCCCACCATCCACAATTTCAGGCATATCAGTTAAAGATCTCATTACATATTCACTGTATATTGAAAACAAATCAGGTGATAGTACACATCCTTGTCGTACGCCCCGCTCTATGCTTGGAAATGTACCTAAGCAGTTGTTAATTCTTGTAGCTACTTTTAGCTGCCAAACATATTCTTTCTTATATGTAGATCTTTTCTATCAATGTTTAATTTTTCTAACAGTTTGATTACTTCTTCATGCTTCACACAATCAAATGCTTTTGTATAGTCTAGGAAGAATAAGTACATATGTCTCATAATGGCTCACATGCATTTTATTATTTCTGAGTGTTGGGTGCATATTTCCTACGCCAATTACGTTTGGCCTCCATATTGCAAAAATCTGGCAACGGCTAGTTTGTGCTGATGCAAGATCTCAAACCGTCTGATATCTCCTCGACAATTTTTCTTTGAAATTATGGCGACGTCAATGCGTTTTAGCTTTTCTCGCTATTCCAATTACATAAGAAGCAGATTACCAGTCCGAAGATTTTCTACCACTCGACGTTTAATGTCGCAACACTGGCAACAGGAAGGTGTTCCTGGATCGGTAAGTTTACAGGCTGTTAGTAATTAAACGAATTATTAGTTACAAATGGCGAGAGACCGATTTTCTTTCATTCAAACCGTGACCAGAGCGACGTTCTGCAAAGGACCTGCTCCGTGATGATGAAAACGGATACAACAGCCATCTTGACCATATTCAGAGAACTTAGTTAATAATTATTGAACAGTTCACTTTTAAAATCACCATAAATCAGAGCCGATGCGAGCAGTACTATTTTTTTTTTTCTGAACATCATCATCAGTCTTCCTGACAGATTAGATATGAGCTGCTTTCCTGACTGACTGACGTTAAACCCCACCAGGACATCACACCGAGCGATAAACACCCGGTGATACACTCGGATGAGGATCACCCGGAGACCGGTCCTAGAAACATGTTCAGCCCATAGGTTGGGTTATTTTAGGGTCCCCGTCAGCAGCCAGGGTGGGGCTTTAAAAAAACAACAACATTGCGTCTGACACAGGGACGCAGGAGTAATATAATATATTTTAAAGCCATTTTCCTTTCCTGTCAATCCGGAAATGCCCATTTATTTTACACAAAAACGGGGAATGATCTGCACACAGTAAAGTGATATTTCCACCATTAAATGATTTTCACACAGTGGAACGATCTTCACACAGTGAAATGATCTTTACCTAGTGCAACGATCTTTACCCAGTAGAATGGTTTTCACACAGTAGAATGATCTTCACATAGTGGAATCATCTTTATACAGTGGGCGTATCTTCAAACGGTGGCATCATCTTTCACAGTTGTATTATCTCTACACAGTGGAATTGGGTACACAAGAAAATGATCTTTCCACAGGGGAATGATCTTCACGCGGTGTATTGATCTTCACACAGTTGAATGATCTTTCTGCCATAAAATGATCTTCACACAGTGGAATGATCTTCACATAGTAGAATAGTCTTCACACAGTGGAGTTATTTTCACACAGCGTGATGATCTCCACATAGTGAAATGCTCTTCAAACGGTGGAATGATTTTTGCCCAGTGGAATGATCTTTGCACTGTGGAATGATCTTCACACAGTGGAATCATCTTTACACAGTGGAATTATCTTCACACAATGGATTTATCTACACACAGTGGAATGATCTTCACACAGTGGAATTATCTTTTCAGAGTGGAATTATCTTTATACAGTGGAATCATCTTCACCCAGTGGAATTATCTTTACAAGTGGAATTATCTTTACAAGTGGAATTATCTTTACACAGTGGAATGATATTAAAATCCATAATTAGTCACCTGCTACAGCATACCTTTTGGGGTGTTGGGGGTTGGGGAAAAGGGGGGGGGGGGTTCTGTTCTCATTTTCCAGTGAAGCCCCGGAACCCACACAAGGAAAGCAGGAATAAAAGAATAAAATCAAGAGGAGGTGAGAACAGCAGAGAGAGAGAGAGAGAGAGAGAGAGAGAGAGAGAGAGAGAGAGAGAGAGAGAGAGTTCAAACAGGGCAAGTAGATGTGTTGAAGATCCACTGTATTGCACCTTTATTGCGGAGACGGCAGCCTGGCTGAGACTGAGACCTGAAAACTTGATGAACATGCTTAGATAAGAGAGCCCGGGAAGGTGACCCGGGCAACGGATACCTGCAGAAGTTGTATGTGTCGGCTGAATGGCGCAAATATCGCAGCCATGGTGAAAAAGGGTAAAACGCATTCACATCTTCGGGTGTAAAAGAAGTAGTATAATAAGAAGAAAGTGAGAGAGAGAGAGAGAGAGAGAGAGAGAGAGAGAGAGAGAGAGAGAGAGAGAGAGAGAGAGAGAGAGAGAGAGAGAGAGTTAAAAAGATTGAGTGGCTAGTTTATTTTTCTCCTCCTTATTCAGTCTGTTTGGACAGTAATGTTTAATATTAAAGTTATTAGGATGGATTAGTGAAAGGTTGCAGTGAAAAAGCAGCCATGGTGTCAGTTATAATAACAAGAGAAATACAAAAATAGAACTCTTTTCCTTCTTCTTCTGCTGCTGCTGCTCCTCCTCAAAGAAGTATAAATGTGCATGAAGAGATGTTGCATGTGGCTTTTACATTTGAGTAATTTAAATATTCTTGTTTCTCCGACAGAATCTTCCTTTCAGCATAAAGAACAAGTACTGGTTGACATTTTTGACCACTGTGTACTTTGCCTCTGCACTGAATGCCCCCTTCATCTTATTAGCGATAACATTGAAAAGAATATACACGCCTCAAGTGGAGCTTGGCACTCAAGTGCTCTCAACTAAGTTCTGTGTTGATGAAGCTGAGGAAGACTGATTATTTTGGATCAGGTTTAGTTTGGAATATCGCACACATATTGATAATCACTGTATTTAACATTGACATTTCATTTTACAGCATGTAAATACAATCGGTAAACTACTGGACGTAAATTTGCCTAGAAAAACCACACAACAGCCATGGGCTGTTCAGGTTGGTTCTGCAACGTCCTGTAAAGGGTTTGCGACTAACCTATATACAATCGGTAGGCAATAATTTCTTGATGCGTCAGAAATGTGGTTTTACAGAAGAATGCTTAGAATATCTTGGGCAGCTAAAAAGAGCAACCAAGAGGTTTTAAAAGAGGCGCGAGCCCGAAGACAACTTATCACAGACATCAGAAAGAGACGGTCATCATTTTTCGGCCATGTTATGAGAAGAGGGAAAATAGAACATGTTGTGACCACTGGAAAGATCTGTGGAAGGAGGGATAGAGGAAGACAACGAGAAAAGATTCTTGACAGTCTTGTTGCATGGCATGAGGGTGTGTCGGCACACGAACTGATACATGCTGTAGGAGATCGCAGATTATGGAGAGACATGATCGCCCACGCCAGTCGGCAAGGCACCTGATGATGATAATGATGTCACTAGGTCGGGGTTTGTGGCTTAGGCATTGCGAACGAGCTTCGTAATGCCAGGGTACCGGGTTCAATCCTAGCCGTGGGCCCTGCTCCTTGCGTTGGTTTCGACAATGGTATCGAGAAGCTGACCGTCCAAAAAGCAATGGCAAACTACTGGATGTAAATTTGCCTAGAAAAAAAAACCAGCCAAACAATGCTGGGGTTGGTTCTGCAACTAACTATGTCACTAGTCGTCATTAAAAAATAAAAAGGGTAACAAAAGTTCAGATACCAGCAGGTCTTCAAATAATGATGTAATTGCTTCTTAAAAAGCCGGGGTAGGATCATTCTTTGTGTAGTGGCTAGACACTTGTCTGGGGAGCCTGCAGTTCCTGGTACAAATCCGCATGAAACAATTTTTTTTTAAACAACTGACCTTGGTTTCCAGTCCTGGGAAGTAAAGGCGGCTGGTGGGATGTTTACCTCATCACCCACCTAGTGCCGATTGGTCATACAACATAGATCTTACACTATGCATACCCAGTAGCCTGAAGGCATGGAGAATGGTCAACAGTTGTACAAAATAAACTAAAAATAACTAATAGTTGCAATCAGAAAGGGACAGTCTATGACATTGTTAGAATGGAAATACTGGAAATGTAATCGGGACAACAAGAAAGTTGGAGGGGAAGAAAGACCAAGCAAGGTCAAGAGAGAAGATTAATTGTTTGGAATAATAACATAGAAGAACATGTGTACAAGTGTCAGAAATTATTGATCCCAGGATAACTGACTGTTCAGACACGATAATGAACACCATATAGCATCGACTTTAAGAAGGCACAGGTACACAGTTGGTTTGATTCCCTTAGCTGTGTCTGTTCCAGGCTGCTCCACTGACTGGGTTCCAGTGAAGCATTGGGGCTAGATGCTCGTCTTCCAGCCTTAAAGGCAGGGGTTCAAATCATCTTCTAAGTCTGTATGCATCTGCCTGAGAGGCAAGAGGCCAACAGCCTGCAAGCAAACAGTTAAGTTAAATCTGTAGAACTCGATATGCTCGCAAAATGCAAGTTTTGAAACAAGATCTAGGTCCAGAAATGGACGAACCACCAGAACTTTCCGCCGAAGCTTACAGCCAGTGAACACTAAGACGAAGAAGGAAATAATCAAGCCATATAAAAAAAGTGGAATAGTACCAGTTCATACCTTTGCTCCTACAGCCTCTATTGACTGACTGACTGACTTTCTACCCCACTAGGACATCACACAAGCGACAAACACCCGATGATACACAGTGCCACCATGCGGATGAGGATTGCCGTGGAGAGGTCCCAGAAACCTTGTTCAGACATTTGGCCATATATATCGCCTGCCTATATTGCGGCCCCTGGCAAAAGCCAGAGTAGGGCTTCAAATGACAAAAAATTTCGTCCTGAAAAGGACGAAGAGCCTCTATTGCTGGGCCTCTGTTTTTATAGGCCAGGCGACACTTGATAGGTGGTGTAGTCACCATCACACCGGCCACTATTATGCCATTATATATATATATATATATATATATATATATATATATATATATATATATATATATATATATATATATATATATATATATATATATATTATATATATATATATATATATATATATATATATATATATAAAATTATATAAGAATATCATTTACAGGACATTGATAACCTACACGATATTTTACTGGCTGTTGTGTGGTTTTATTTGGCAATGTTAGGTTTAGTAATTTGTCATTGCGATATGCTGCCAACAGAGTTTTGATCGCCGAAAATGAAACACAACTGCAAGAAGTGATAGATGTTGCTGTAACAGAAAGTCAAAACAGAGGTCCTAGTTTGAACAGAAGAAAAACAGAAATAATGGCAATTTAAAAGAAAATGGACACTCCAAATGCAGCATCAAAGTAAATGGGACAATCCAGAGGCAAACTGATACTTTTAAATACTTGGATGCCCTGATAAAACCATACTGAAGATGTATTAAAGAAGTTAAATGTAGAATCGTTCAAGCGAAGGTGGCATTTTACGAAATGAAGAATATCTTATGCAGTCTTTCTTTGTCAACTGAGATGATAAGAAGAAATAATAAAAGCTATATAAATCCTGTCTTGATATACGGAAGGAAATCGAGGACAATTGGTCCATTAGTGAAACATTATTTTGAAAGCTGTTAAGATGTGGTTTCATAAAGGAATAATGAGAATACTCTTCTTCTTAAAGTCCATTCCTTGTGACGCTTGGCAGTCATGTCTATCCAAAACCTTCTATCTCGTGTACTTCCAGTCAGCTCTGATAGAGGTGATCCTCCATGCCATGATGTCAGACTGTACAGCATCTTTTCTCTCGGTCTCCCTCTGCCTCTCCTCTGCTGCAACTTTCCTAATGTCACGATGTACTCCAGTTTTATTTTTCTCATCCCATGACCAAAGGAGGTAGATAGTCTCTTTCTGATGTGGGGAATCAGTTCTGTTCATGAGTCCTTTCTTTCAAGACATCCTCATTACTCTTTTTATCTGTTGAAAGTATTCTCATTATCTGTCTATAAAACCACATCTCTGCAGCTTCCAAATACTTTCTTTTTCACTAACCTACTGGCAAAGGAAGATTACATAGAACATTCTTCATTTTGTAAAATGCTGTCTTTGCTTGAGCCATTCTACATTAGACTTCTTTAACATGTCTTCCATCTTGGTGTACCCTGTGACGAAGAATTTGCGATAATTTCTGAATGGTTCTGAACGATCTTACCATTTTCCAAATCAACACAAAGAGATATTCTCCCACATTGCCCACATCTTTCTGAAACTTATAAAAATATATTGTCGGCTATAGTTTTAGATTATTAATTATGCAATTTGTATTTTTCAGATTAAAGTCGAGTAGATCATGTCTGGACCACTGAAGACAAACTGAATTTCTCGTTTGAATATTGAATTTCTCGTTTCTTCGACAATGAAAATGTTTTACTTTATGTTCAATTTTAAGTTTAGTAACCACTCTTGTTTTCTTTGCTAGAAGAAATAAAATGTCTGTTTTTCAGTTATACATCTGTTTGTTTGTAAAAAATGTGCCTTATATATGTTTGTGTGTGTGTGTGTGTATATATATATATATATATATATATATATATATATATATATATATATATATTTATATATATATATATGTGTGTGTGTGTATAAATATATATATGTATATATATATATATATATATATATATATATATATATATATATATATATATATATATATATATATATATATATGGTACATTTATTTGCATGGTTTAATAGACAGCAACAGAAAGGATTTATGCTATAAATTGTGTATATGCAAAGTAATATATAAATTATACTATATCAAAAATCATCAGAAAGAGGCAGTCATTTTTTTAATGGTCATATTATAGGAAGAGAGGCTGAAGATGCCTTCCAAGAAAAGAAACTAGTGCTTGTAGCAGGGATAGATTAGAAGAAAGCTTTTGACAAGATCTGGAAAGAAGGTCTCATGGAAAAACTGAGAAACTTCAAAGTGAATGGTAATATGTGCAGATGGATGAAATCAAGCGTTCAGATTAATCAAGCGGGATAAAATCAACACCTATAGCTGAGATGGAGAAGATGGCGATGAATTAAACACTGACAGAACGAAGAGACACTAAGGTAATAATACAAGCAGACAAGTTTCTTAGCATGCCTGAACACCCCATGAAAGAAAAATATTCAAAAATCTAGCAATGGGGCGACTAAAAAGAAGCAGTTTCATTCACCAGACCCAATGACTCTGCAGGCAAACCAATAATCTGTCTGCAACTAATAACCCCTTAAATACTATTCCAGATCAGACCCCTTGGAAAAAGGATTTTATGTTGCTAATACACATCCAGACAGAAGTGAAATGAGTATTCCACAAAGAAGAACAAAATAGTGTGCAAGGTAAAACAGCCACCCTAGCTGTACTTGATGACAAATAACCACATAATCTTTGGGTTCGTGTCTATACGGATGGGTCAGCACAAAACGGAAGCAGAAATGGAGGAGCAGGAGTGTATGAGATATACAGGCAAAATAACTACAGGAAAGCACTGTCATAACTATGATGCAAAAGTTCAAGCTGTCAAAATAGCAGCAGAGAAACTGTTAAATATACGTCATATTTCACAATCAGTGGTTTTTCTGACAGATGCAAGAGCGGTGCTTCAGGCACTCCAGTCTGGAAAACTACCTTGGTAACGAGCACTACTCTCCAAACCAGACAGCCGGTGTAAGGTAACTAACTATGCAATGGATACCATATCACTGTGGAGTTCCTGGAAATGAAAGAACTGATAAACTAGCCAAGAAAGGTGTAAATGGTGAAAAACCTGACTTACCAGTCTCTTATTATCAACAAAAACAACAAC